AGTGTTGAATCATCAGTGCATAACTAAATGCGGGCCTGTTTATTCAGTGGTTGAGATGCCGAAATGGTGCTTGAACTACTTTTCCTGATCACTGGGTCTCCTTACCTAACTCGCCAAATTTGCTGTTTGAGATTCTAGCTCCAGATGAACTAAATTCCAAAAGATCTAAAAACCTCGTTTTCCTTTTTTCGCAAGTCAGTCGATTGGCAAACTCAGCCTATTTGTGCTGCATCGTGCTCGACTATTTCTTGATAATCATCTCCAATGTCGTTATGGAATTTAAGTCTGCCTCGTAGTTTGCTCGACCAAGGTCAATCACGCCATTCTGAATTCTATTAGCTAACCCAAGAAGTCCATTTGGAGAGTGTGAAACGATTACAACCTGTACCACGTTGTCAATCACAAATCCAGTTAAGGGATTCCCGTTTGATTAGAGACAACTGGTGGAAGTATCGCGCACTATTCTGTCGCCTCGCAGTACTTCTCTTTACAGTCATGAAGCGAGTAGAGTAGGTAATCTCCTGCCGCCATCGGCCGTTTTTGACTCAACAAAATACTCAAACTGCCTTACAAGTCACCAGGATAATTTTTGTTGAAATTACTTTGACGTCATGGTCGGTCACATTCAAATCAGGGCTGTTATCAGAAACATTCGGATCATTGGATCATAAACATTTCTAGCGGTTTCAGTACTGTAAGAACTGAAAGCAGATGGATGGATTTATCCATGACTGTGAGATGAACAGCCTCATGTGAGACGTGACTTGAAGATTATTCCAAAGAAGGACAGTTTTCAGCGAAGTAACCTTGGTCTAACAGACAGGGAACACTGGACATTTTTGAGCCCAATGAATTCTGCGTTGTTCAGGTTATCTTTGATAAGGCTCCAATAACAAAGTTGATAGTGGTTTGTAGAAGCCCTTATCAAACAGTGTGGTGCGTTTTGCAACCTCAACGTCACTAAAATAAAGTTCTTCGCAAATTATGATTTTACAACTGACGTATTCATCAGCCTTTAAAATCTCAACACAGGTTGTTCAAAGTAAATCGATGACCAGAACTATTTACGATGCAAGTCAGGTTGTTTCGAGGTTGCAAAATGTAACCACCTTCGGTTTCCGTATAATCACTGATTTTCGATCTATTGAGTGCCAAAGCAACGTATTTTCCTCCACTCTTGTTCGCAGTGAAATATGAGAATTTATTATCAAATCTTCCTCCTGATCATATACCTGCCGATCTTTGGACGTCATTTCTATCACAGTGCAGGTAAAATTATTATCCAATTTGGATATGCTCATGTTCTACACATATATTCTGTTGAAACACCATTTTCACATGAGTAATGCAAAAGCGTGCTTTCAGTGACAAGGAGAATATGAGCTGTTTTCACAGGAACAAGTGTTTGATGAGCTTCCCATTGTCGCCCCTCCACTTTTCCGGTGTCCAGTAAAACTTTCTTCAAAATAGCGAAAACAAGATAGATGATGTCCAGGCCACGCATTCCATCCAAACCAAACAGAATTGTATCTAGTAGGATCAGCATTTATTATCGATGGTGAAAACAACTCTTGGGGAATTATGCCCTCGTTTATTTGGCAATAAATCATATTGGTTGCTTAACCAATGTCGGACTTCTGAACATCAGATACATTTATCATGGTGAACAAGGTCACACAAATCCAATCGCCAACAGATGTACTGTTACTGATTTTGGTACTTCAGTCTTGTGCTATGATGTACTGCAAAAGTTTGAGGACACAAGGATTAATTACGAAAAAACTCTTTCTAACGAATTGCGGAAGCACCTGCATGTGTGGGAAATCCCGTCAGGAATTTTGAGTTCCATTCTTGGCACTGATAACTAGCCTAATTGTTTTATTGATTGGTGAATGGTTTTCGCCAGAAAGGGTGATTGCATCGCTATTTTCGAAACGGTTAGTTGGAGTGGTACTGGTGGGAGGGTCGTTATTAGCGACATGTGAATAATTAGGTCTATCTTCGGAAGGTTTAACTCAATGAACTTCCATTTTGCCTCCCATAACTGATGTATGTGCCGATTTTTGTCTTTGAGGCCTACAGCCGTAGTTCCCCCTTGAAGTGCTTCATCTTAAGATCAGCAATCAATAAGGTGTACCTAGAATAATCAATGGTGCTATGGTTAGGGTGCCTGTTTCCATGAAAGCACACACCAGGACAAATAGGGCAACTTACTTTTCCCTCGTGGTTTCGTCTGACGGAATCTCGACTTCTTCCAAATCCGAAACCATACTCATCGCTACGGGCATTTTCATGAAACCAAGTTGATTATTGTTGATTAGAGTGGCTTCCATATTGATCTAGATGAGTTATGCTTAGAATCGAAGCAGATCCAGTGAAGAAAGGAGAACTCGGTACCAATATGCGATGTATTTAGAGGAAATATGAGTGTGGAAAGATGAAAGTGCAAACTCCAGCAGTTACACAGAACGGGGTCAAACGACTAAACCCGGTCTACTGTCCGGTGAGTGAGACCAAACTCGAACAAGTCAAACGGTTCACTAAGAGTTCGAGAGTTCGACAGTATCATAAAATTTATTGCGTATGCTGATTTGTTACAACAGAACAAAGTGGGAGATTCCGTTTTTGAGTGATCTCCTGATTCGGTTGGGAAAGATGAATCCAAAGTTCTTTTCAAACCAGGTGAGATAAATGGCGGCAGATTCCGTCATCTAAAGTGACAGAAGAGAGGGTTAACATGGGTGGTTTACTATTGAAATAGGAATCATATTTGAAGTGATTTGACCAAGTCAATTTCGGATTGGTAATGACGCATAAACACCTCACAGACCTTTACCAGATCAAATCTTTCCCATATTTGTAGCAACCTTAACCGTTTTCTAGCATCGGTGATTTTCAGCTAGCCATAAGAACTTAATAGTGTCCTTTTATTTAGAGGCTTAATCACTTATGTTATGAGCATTGGGTTAGTCGAACGAATCAGCTAACTCATTTTTTGAAATTAGATAAGATGGTGTCAGACAAGCAAATAATCACATCGAAGGGACAAGAAAGAGATACATACGAGAAAGAGAAGATTTAGAATGACGTTTTGAAAAACACCTGCGGTTGAAGGCAATAATGAAGAGTTTTAAATGAGGTGATTTGTGAATGGTTCGCTATCTGACAAATAATCTAGAGGTAGCCTCATGGCTCATGATTGTACAGTGTGATCATAAATTTCCGTTCCACTTGAAACCTATTCATGGATGAGCAGTTGAGTTAGATTGTTTAGACAGCGTGAAAATTAAATAAGCAAATCTAACTTTACTATAAATCTGCTTTAGCTTTGGAATTTGAAAGAGTTGGTGCCGCAATTTTAGCACACAATTGACAACATGTGACGACCAATGTTTGACTTCACTCCTGGGAACTCCATTGATTCAACTCTGGGAAGTTGAATGGTCCGCAGAGTAGAACGATCATTCTGGAAATCTGAGTAAGACAGACTGGATATACATTCAGAATATCGTTCAGAAACACTAGTAGCCTTGTGAGTGACAAAATGGTTATTAAAGTTCCTTTCGGTTGATAAAAATATTTGGACATCAGTATACCCAAGAGATCTAGAAGAAGTTCTCTAACATAAATGGAGTAAAAAAATTACAAATACACAGCAACTTGAACAAAGTTGAGGTTATTGATTAGGAATCCGGATGACTAGCCAGTAAATCCAAAAGTTTGAGTATGCCCCCAAATATGGTCTGTAATCCATTTCAGTTAACTATGCGGGGCGACCAAATGAATGATACTTCTGTGGAAAGAGTGGTAATGAAATAAAGGCAAAGATCGAAAAAAGTCGCATAATATCCACCTAACAGATAATGCTGTTTGTTAGAAATCCACGGAAAGAATTGTCCAGATAGAACAAATAACGTTCTATTTGGCTGATTTTCCCATTGTGGGTGTATGTCGGTTTCATTCTCTAACGCTACCTTACTGTGGTGCTCGGATTCGTGAGCCACGAAGACCCCGAGGGCTATGCCAACTGGACCACAAGGTGCTCCTTCTGAATCACCCATGTCAAACAGGTCGACGGTGAGTGACCAGGCAAATGCAAAGCAATGTCGATAGCAAATATTTTGCCTGTTAGCGAATTCGCCACATGACAGGTACATAGGGCCATAGCCAGCAACATGATGTTACACGCCACTAAATAGGGTCATTGCTTCTTGTCACCTAATTATCCAAGATTCACTGGGGAGTATTCGGCATTCTCGACTGACAGACTACCATGCAAAAGGCAAGTGAACGGCAAGCTCTGTCACCGGCTTCCAATACGCAAACTTCCTGTTTCTCGAGAGGTCACACCTTGTTGTGCACAGACAAGATTTGCTACCTCGAACAAAAAACCGAATTACGCTACGGACAACTCTTAGAACCCGACTCCAAAGGATCCTCATGAACAGTTTCTCTAAACGCAGGGTTCATGGGCAGGTATGGTTCAAGATAAGCACAAAGCTGGCCCATTCCCTTGCAGGAAGCACTCGCATAAGATGTCTGAAGTTGCCGAACAAAGAGTCATTTGACTTTTATATTCAATGCAGTTCGCAATTATTTCAATCAAAGAGAACAGTAAATGCACAAGCATCATTAGTCACAAATACGGTATGGTTATATGGACGTACTTGTTCATTCATCTGGAAGACTGATCACATCCGTGACGTCATTTATCCCCCGGTCGATGAAACTTTGTATCACTTTTTCCAATCTATGGTGTCCAACTGAAATTAGGGTACTTGAATTTGTCTCAGCAGTAAAGACTGAAATTCGACTGGTTTGTAGCCAAACCGGAATTATTGATGAGACTGTGAACGACCTAATCACATTCGAACTAGTGCTTACAAGAATGTACAAATAGAGTTATTGGATATGAAATTCAAGACTTATTGTGCTGGGAAGTTGAGTAACCCTACTATATCACTCGTATCTGTAAATTACAGAAGTCATTCTACTTTCAGATTTATGATTCCGAATTGGCTGTGCAAGCCCAGGCATGGGCGAACGAGTGCGAAATTCGTACAGAAGAACTCGACTATCGGTATACCAGAAAGAATGGACATTTCGGCCAGAATATTTTTCGAAGTGTTTCCTTTGGACAGTAAGTCCAGACACGATTGTTACTTTGCACTCTGAACAAACATTTCGAGGATGAATAAAGACGGTTTTGAAAATTGTGCTGAGCCAGAACTGAACAACCAAGCCATTTCTTCCTAACCCCATTTGTTCTCCTCGTTCCTCAGTGCATTCGAAGTACGGACCAACGAAAGTATGAACTATAATTTTTCTGTAAACACCTGCAAAGAGGACACCAAATGTGACGCATACACTCAGGTACGATTATTGGTGATTATCGTATCACTTCACGCATCTACATTCTTACATTTGTTTTACAAGAACTCAGGGACAACCTCTGGTAATGGGTCTTTGCATTATTCTCTACAACCCCAGTCAAACAAATTTATAAACGAGATCCCATCCCTTGAAAAGAAGCACAGATTTCCTCAACATGAAAACGATGGAAAGCATGACCAGCAGTCGTATTAAGCACGGTTCGTAGAACTTTCGTTCAGTCGTTTTCATTCACGGTTGAGCTGACTCGCCCGCATATCTGTCATCTACGTTATGTTCCCGAGCATCAGCATTTTGTCATTTGATTAGATCAAAAACAACATATCTCGGAAAACAATGAACAGGACTCCATTGATGAATTCCCGAGAGGTAAAAGATGGACATGCTTCAACACGACCGAGGATCAAATTTCATTTTGTGGTTCTGCACCGATATTCAGTTGTGATAAATGCTTCCTTCACATATATATGTCAGTGGATTCTTCACAGGAATATTGTCCCGTTATTTAGTGACTCTCAGATGAACGAGCCTTGAATTCCACGGTAAAGAACACAGGCTGACCTTACTACATGTACCGCATTACAAAATTATCAAACATTTAGAGTGAGGTACCTCAAGGTGTGGGCAAACCGACACTAAAATCTGGACAGTCAGAAAGGCGTCAACACGTTCAGGCGACAATGGACAGTTAAACATACAAAACGGTGATACAGAAATGAGTCAAATTATTCACGAAGGGATTCATTATTTATGAGAAGCGTCCTACTAATCAACGTCCAGCAAATAGGCAACTACTTGAGGGAACACACGAAAGAGCGTGGTGAAAGACAATCGCAATAACATGGGCACGAGAAAATGGCATGGGCCAAGCAGAAAGGCCAAATGTCAGTGAGAGAGAGAGGGAGATAAGTGCGCCCAAGCGGTGGGGCTCAGTCAAGTAACACAGATAGGTATGTGGAAATAGCTGAGTGGTTAGGGTGAGATCTGACGTGTGAATGAGGAGTGAGGGGGCGGAAACCGCAGCAACGACGGTGTCGTCGTGGTAACCAGTGGGTCATTGAACAGAGGGATACAATTGAAATAAAAGATTACGTGAGGGGTAGTATGTGTTAGGAACCGGGGTTCATTGATGAGCGGTAGGATCAGATAAGGCCAACAAATGGACCGAGCACAGATACAGATTAGGGCCACAAATATTTATCCAGTCAACATTGTCGTAGAAACAAGACTGAAACATGCTTTGTGCAGTGGGACTGGACACACAAATTATCACGCGAGCTTGAAGGCGAGAGTGCGGTAATCTGCGTGGATATTTGAGGTCCAAGCATACGAGAAACAAAGAAACTGTTTGGGAAACGCAAGAGAGAAAATCCATGTGAACAGCATGGGATCCTGACTGAACCAGTGTAGAGGCGTTTCTTAAAATGGCAAGCTTAGTTTTTCTGTCTAATCTCAATAAATCTTTACAGATTCCGTCATCAGACACTATTTTGTGAACATAGAGAGGTATACCCATCACAGACCGCATCTATATATCAGCATTATTTGAACTCCGATTAACAAAGCAGAAATACCAATCGTCCCTTATGGAAAACTTATCTCTCACTATATGGTGGAGATTTTGCATCCCTTATGGCTTTTATTATTATTCAGCTAACAATGCTAACCTAATGGAGACTGATAGAATGGTTTTCCGTTTTTCAAAAATGTCCCATCACAATCCCAACTGCCAAGTCCTCCAGACCAACCGACTGAATACTTTGTACATCATCCACGTCAGTGGTCCCAAAATGGAGTGATTTTTGCCTGCATAGATTCATCGATCATCACTGATGTTTTGTAATTCTGACTTTTCGATAAGCTCAGATTTTTCTTGGGCCCTACACCATTAGTCTAACTTGCTCCCCTAATGATCACTCGACGAGTGTTGTAATGATATCAAGTGGTGTGGAGCCGTTTAAACCACCACCACCGCCTCTGATGTAGGAGGTCCCAGCCCTGACACCTCCAGTCAGTGCCGTGTTAGATAGCAATCTACAACCTTCCGGTTTGACACCACATCACCGTAACCCATTGGGACAATCCTTGAGTGACTCTCAAATTCTTTCTTACCACAAATTCTCTCGAATGGCATACTGTGTCATTTAGGCCATGGGACATGTCCCTTCCGCTGTACTCACGCGCAGGTATACAGCAACAGTTGTTCCATAAACATTTATTACTTCAGATTGTGCGGGTGACTGGAACCTTATCCCTTTCAATTACCACGGATCACAGGAACAAAAGCAATACTTTTGTATCACGAAGAGATTTGGAAACGGACAGTCGTTGAGTTGTGCAAATTCGGAAAAATCAGACAAATTCTCTGATCACACTGAGTTCACCTCGGTTGACATAAACTAATACAAATAATCTTTTAGTAGTAAAACACTACACGTTAAAACTAACATAATAAAATGTATCAACTCAAGGATTTCCGGAATCTCTACCTCAACACATTCTTTCTGTCACTGCAACCGCACAGATCGTTTGGGCCAAATCGGAAGCGATAGGATGTGGCTACCAAAACTGCGAAAACATTCCGGATGTTTCATTGACTATAATAATAGTGTGCAACTACGGTCCAGCGTAAGTCATTTCACATTGTGTATACATTTTGGTGAGTCCATCTGCATATTTGAACATCCGCTCTACCATTTGTGAAAATTCAAAACTTGTTGGTTTCCACATGAATAACTTCCAACCCGAGATCTCCAAATCCTCTTTGCCAATTTATTAGGCTCTCTAGGTATGTTCTTCTGTCGTATTCAGCATACCGTAGTTTTTCTCAAAGATTAGACAACATCTATCCTACTACCCATAGCAAATAGGGTGACATGACTATCTGAGCGAACTACAAGGGTATCAGCCTCATCGATTTAGCGGTTGGGTTATAGGCTACCATTCTGTTAAAATGCTTTGCTGCTGTTCAGGACGCGCGAATACTTCCCAATCAGCGTGGCTTTCATCGAAGAAGAGGGTGTATTGACCAGACCTCCATGCTAAGTTGAATTCTAAAACATGGCTTTGAATTTGAGCAACCAATCAGAGCGTGTTCCATTGATCTTCGGACATCATTTGATTCCGTTGACAGACAGTCACTCTGGAACTACTGCGAAGCCTCAGGATGCCCCAAAGGTACGCCAGATTGTTAGGATCGTAATACTCGGCAACACAGGTGCGCTCCGCACATACGGCGAACAGTCTACAGAGTTCCAATTTGACTGCGGCGTCCACCCAGGGTGCTTTCTATCACCAGTCTTGTTTAGTTATGATGTAGATTAAATAATGCGTCGAGCCCTCGGCAAATTTTGAGGGCTACAACTTAGCCACATTTCTGGGGTTGCAGATCTGAAATTCGCTGACAAAATCACCATTCCAGAAGAGGATCGTTGGTTTATGCAATCGGTTCTCGACCGCATTATAGGCGAAGCTGTGGCTGTGGACCTGATCTAGAGATAAACGCTTCAAAAACGAAGTTCTCCACAACTTTTGCAGGGCCAATCACATTCTATCAGCGTAAATGGCGAAACTGTCGAACAGGTGCACAACTTCAAATAACAGGATTCTACGATCCAGTCAAATGACCGGGTCGGTGATGAAGTTAAATTGCGTGCAGACTGCTCAAGGAGAGAGTTCCTATAGTTTCGCATAACATTGTGATCTCACAGTGAAATAAGCCTCCACAGAAAGCTGCTCGTGTACCGACATGCCGCCCGCCTAGAAGCTACCTACGCATGTGAAATCTTGTTGTTGACAGTAGAAGATAAAATAAGACTGAAAAGCTTTGACCACTGGTGTTACTTCCTGAATTCGGTAAGCAGAACGAGGCACGCTCGTACGAATGAATGTGTATGCATTGGCAACGGTAAACGTAAGTAAAAGTACTCAAGTGAAAACGCAAACACGTAAGCACATGCGTGAGTCAGCGTTGTATGCAAGTGCAAGCTTAGGCCACGTGTGGAATCGGATTAAGCCACACAAGGTCGTTCAACGCGTGGCATGATCTGATTGGTCAGTGCTATCCGAGACGAAGCACGACTGAAGTCAATCATTTACGCGTGCGTGAGACTGCTGGCATGTGTCCATGAATGCATGGGTTTGGGATCAGGGGTGCGCTTTGTGCGTGCGTGTGCAAGAATGCCTATCTAGACATACGGCTGTTCCAGCCGAACACAAAACTGGTGCTTCCGCTACATAGCCAAAATCAGGAGGTTCGTCTGTCTTTCGCCGACCCGAAAAGGAACTTACGTAGAGGAACCTGTAAGTATTCCGAGATTATCCTTCTCTTTTTGTGTTTGGTTTCTCGTGAGTAGTGAGTATGTACATCGTGAACCTTCGACGATCGTAATGGATTTTCTCTCTAAGATTTCGTATTGGTTTATATTCCATCTCACGGAGTCCGTTGCATGAGCAGGTCACGTATTTATTCATAGCATTGTTTCCTCAAATGTGTACTATTCCGGCGTAAGATAATCTCTCTGAGTGTTTCATTTGTGTCACAACAAGCCTACCGCTATAGCATTGCTCAGACTGGAACTGCCGCCTTGGTAATCACCTGAAGACATGGGTTAGCATTATTAAGGCAGACATGGAGCACCTGAGTTTTATATGGGTCTTCGGCGTACGCGACTGGAAGGTCGAATGGATTTTAAGGTATGCAGATCATGCCGCAGACAGGAACACGTGGACAGCTACCAACAGATATATCGAAGAAGCCAACTTGTCCCCTCGCAGGAGAGATTCCTATAAAAGTAAACATAAAAGAGGAAACAATATGACTGAATCAGTTCATACATGATAGTGCTAATACAACTTTATGGGAACCGTCGTCGACAAATTGTAGCCCATAAGTGGATTTGAAGGGACTTGAGACTGACTGGGATTTTATGTGCATATTCACTAATAAAAATTGGCTTAGATAAACACGACTAATCAGTACTTAGCTCTAGGCACCGCCTATGTTTTTTGATGACACAGGGCTGTTTTTTGTTTGCTCACTCGCAAAATTATTGGTTTTTGCCAGATGAAAAAAAAAACACGTTTCATTACTCTGCTTGAAGAGTGCGGGAACCTAGCTTTCTTAGCTCACTTTGTGTCCAGTTTCATTCCAACCGGCTGACGTGATTGATAAACTGTGCCATACATTGTAGTTCACCTATCCTACCGACTTCTCTTCATCTTTTGGTGACCGTTGGAACTTTGAGCTTGTTGCCCATTTCCTAGGCCATTATTGAGATCTGGTTAGTACACGGTAACACGGAGTACTAAAGGTATGGCAGGATCGCCTTGTGTATAACTACACTAAGCCCATAATTGAAAGTGTCCACAACCCGTTTCACTATTGGAATTTCGAGGAGATTAAAATAAATTGAATGGGTTTTTGATTTCTTACCAATTATGCTTTATCATACTGCATGTTCGCAGGGGGAACCTTGAAGGGGAACGTCCTTATGAAGAGGAAACTATGGACCAACGTACACTACCGGAGACAACAACAACAACGACAGAGACAACAAAAGAAAGTGTAGCACCAACCATTACGATACCAGATACAGCCAACTCACCCGTACTCCAGTCTTCCGCATGGTTACAAATGGGCGCAGCTTTGACATATTGGTTCACTATATTCCATGGAGTATTGTGACTTGTTTCAACGCTGTTCATTTGTTCCAGTGAATAGTCATAGCTGGTTCGTGGTAAATTTCTATCATGTTTTGATCCCAAGGATCCATTTGTTGAATAATGATTTCCAATTCGTTATAGTTTATCTCAAGGGATCGGATGATGTCTACAAAATCGAAATAAGACTGGGTAATCAAAGTTGGAGATGTTGGGGGCTTGAGAAATGGTGGGAGGTGGTTTGTTTGTGGTTGGGAAAATGAGACGTAGGAAGTGCATCTGACTGCTTTCTGCCAGGACTGAAAAGAAACGGTCAAGATCACCTTAATTTCGTCTTCCAGTTTCCTATTGCAGCTAGGGTAGATGAAGGGATTCGACAAATTGCTTGTGTGAAACAACGCAATGGATATACCAGCCTTATCGCCACTGCCTCCACCGTTTCCAAATGATTTTGACAAACGGATACAGGTGTACTTTGTAAATTGTTTTCAAAGCTTCGTTTGCCACCTTGGCGCCCAATGTTGGCGAGGTGTGCTTTGATTGCAGCAGTCACGGTTCTTATAGTTCCTGCCCTCAGCCAAATCGGCTTGTGTTCTTTGGGTCTTTGAGACAGTTGCCGTGCTGTTTCGCCTACATAGTTTGACGAACATGAGCAAACAAATAAATAGGCTGACATGGGGGAGGAAAGAACAAGCTTTTTGTCTTCGAAATTCACAAAATTCATTGACGGACTAGTCAAATAGGGTTGTAGAGTGGCGACGGCAAATGAGCGAGTGATGGTATCTCCAAGGCACCGAATTAGTAGCTCACTTTCACCAATTTTCTTTTAAAGGGAAGATACATGTAGAATTCTTTCTTCTCGACAGCGATTATCCATGGTCACTTGGGTACTTCTGAAGTGTTCTTGTGAATGAAACATTCCAGGTACCAATTGTTTAGTAAAGCTTGTTTCACTTAATCCAATTCCTCACTCATTGTTTGCTCAGAACAGATCTGTCGTATGCGAGGAGCTAGGAATCGGACTAGATTCTGTTTGCGTTTTAGGGGCATGAAACTGGCAAAATGTGTGTGCTGGCTTGTCCATAGTTTCTCGAGATATATAAAGCCGACGAGCTTCCCATCTTCCTTTTTCGTGAGGTTTACATTCAGAAAATGAAAGTTATCTCTAACTCCACTTCAGAAGTGGAAATGAGCACACCGTGAGCCTGAATAAACTTTTCCACTAACTCATCTAGGCGAGTTTTTGTCAATCCAGATGAAACTGTTGTCCACATACCAGAAGTAATTGGGTTTTCCTCTTGTGGTTGCGCTATTTGTCACTTCCAATGTTCTAAACTAATGCTGACTAACAGTCAATGGATTAAATCAGAGATATTTTAGTTTCCGTGGTGATCCTCGTTAACTGGATAGGTCACAGCCATACTGGTATTCGTTCTGCCAATTTATGTACTCAATCCAGTCTTGTTCTTTTGCCTCAATTCACTGAAGCAACTGACTATTCATTATCATCTGCAGGAAGCATGGCACATAGGCAAATAGAAGAACCAGCTTTCACAGAATGCGTGAATTTTAGCAACTCATCGTTCAAACTGGGCCCACTCGATCTATCTCAAGGTGTGCGTCTGTTTCAGTGAGTGTGTACCCACGATTGTACATGAAGATCGGCTTTGGGCAAATAATTTAGTACAATAAAGAACTCATTCTTTTGAAAGGAATGAGCATATTGTTTCTAGTATCATTTCCTTCATTTGATACAAGAAAGGATGTGTGGGGATCATAACTAAATCGTTGCATCAAAGCTCACTGGTTCACTGATATTCCTAAACGGCACTTCTAGTTTGTTTGCCCGGTAGCACCCGGATTGGTTCATTTGGCTTCGGTCGGTCCAGAC